GTCATTTCGAACAACGCTAAGCAAAATAAGATGCCCGGTAGCGACAAAACTTTATGTAGTGACTACTCGCCTTTGGCTAGCAGCGATTTAGAGAATAGTGAACAGGGGTCAACAAGTTTATCCGTTTCGAGGACTTTAAGTAACTTTAGCAGCAGAGCTGAAGCGGATTCTTTTGTGCAGCCCGTTAGTAATTATGTAGAGGACAAAGTTAATGACATTTCTATTTCTTTTGCGCCTGGAAGTGCTCTTCTACCTGTTAGCATAAAGGGTCATAATTTTCAATATTTGATAGATACCGGAGCTGCTGTCACAGCAGTAAGCGCTAATGTGTGGCGAAAACACTTAGGTCACGCTTACCCAGAACTTGGTGTGCCTGATTCAGAAAGTGTGACTACAGTCAATGGTTCTCGTTTGACTACTATAGAAAAGACTTTGATGGAATTTGTTATTGATTCTCGTATATTTACTTTCGAAGCATGTGTGATAGAGGACCTGTCTTTTGATGTTATACTAGGTAGAGATTTTCTTCAACGATTTCGTTTCAAAGTTGATTCTGAAGATGGATTAGTTAGTTTTCCCTCTGAGCCCAGTCCTTTTCCTTTTGAGGGTGTGCGCGTAGATGACGACGATGATCTAATTGATGAAGCCTTCATTTCTTCGGTCCATGCCTCTCATACCTTTGTGATTCCACGGCAGTCAGAAATTTTGATTTCTGGGGAACTTGAAGACTCGTCAAATAAGTATGGTATCTGTGGCATGATTGTTCCAAAGCCTGATTCATCTCACCGTTATTCGATTTTTGGAGTGTCGGAGCTTGTTGGTGTTGCAGAGCATGGTACAATCCCTATTGGGTTGGTTAATTCTTCTTTTAAACCAGTTAAAATTTACCGAAGGACTCGTCTAGCTAATTTTGAGGAGGTAGATCGCAACATAGCTACTTTCAAGTTGAACGAGAGCGAAAAGCTACGCGAAAGTCACTGTTCTCTTAATAGTGACGACGAACCAAAAGAATGTGATTATTCTCAATTGCCTGACTTGCCTGATAGTATTCTGTCAGCTGATGACAAAATTAGATTTCGTGATTTGTTTAGTAAATACCGTGATGTGTTCGCTTTTTCTTATGCCGAGTTAGGTAAAACATCGCTGGTACAGCACGTGATCGATACGAGTGACGCTACACCAATTAAACAAATGCCATATCGCACTTCCCCTGAAGGTACACAAGAGGTCGATAGACAAGTAAATGATATGCTAGAACGTGGAATTGTTCAAAAGTCAGTTAGTGCTTGGTCTTCGCCTGTTGTTCTAGTCAAGAAAAAGGATGGTTCTATGAGATTTTGAGTGGACTATCGTAAATTGAACAAAGTTACCAAAAAAGATAGCTTTCCTTTGTCTCTGATTGCCGATACTTTGGATTCATTAAGTGGAACAAATGTTTTCAGCACAATTGACACGAAATCAGGTTATTGGCAAATAGAACTTCATCCTTCTGCCAGAGAAAAGACTGCTTTTGCTACGCACAATGGCCTGTATGAATTCTTGGTAGTGCCTTTCGGTCTTACAAATTCTGGACAGAGTTTCCAGAGACTTAAGGGCCATATTTTAAGAGGATTGGAATATCGGTTTGCACTTATATATATCGATGATATCATTATATTTTCAAAGTTGGTCGATGAACATTTGCTCCATTTAGAAGAAATTTTTATGAGACTTCGTGAAGCTAATATCAAACTAAATCCAAAGTGTAATTTCGTTAAACAAAGGGTAGAATATCTTGATCATATCGTAACTCCTAAAGGTATTAGTCCAAACCCAGAAAGGATTCGTGTTGTGCAGGAATTCCCTACTCCAACTAATCTCAAGGTACTCAGGAATTTCTTAGGTCTCGTTAATTATTACAGGCGTTTTGTCAACGGTTTTTCTCATATACCCAATGCTCTAAATGCATTGACTAAAAAGGGTGTTTCTTTCAATTGGACAGAAGAGTGTGCCGTTGCTTTCGACAAGTTGAAACGTGTTTTAGTGTCCGCTCCTATTTTAGCTTATCCTCACTTTAAAAAAACCTTTTCTACTGTTTGTCGATGCTAGTTCTACCTCGAAATGTTCTGGTTGTTGCTTGGTCTCGTTGAAAAAGACAAAATCTCAGTTAAAGATCCGGCCTTTGCTCTCACGTCCACTTTTGGCAGTTTTTTTGTGATTGCACACGTGATTTACACTGTCAGGGTAGCTTTAAACATGCTGATCGCAATGATGAACAACTCTTTCAACAGGATTATGGTGAGCATTTCTTTTTCTTTTACAATGGCTCCAAACACATTGGCCACAAGTAGAATCCAAAGATATAATCCGCAAACATTAGCAATAGATACATGTACCTGGATGGACCAAAAACAGGATTCCTATATTGGAGGTATACATTATCAATTCTTCCACAGCCTATCAAGATCACGACATCTTTCCTCACTTTTCTTAGTGGGTTTTCGTTCCTAAAAAAAAAGGGCATATCCAACTGGTATTCCACCACTGAGAGCTTCTTAAGAAAAAACACAAACAACGGACACACAAGAACAAAGAACAACAAGTTTACGGCATATGATTTTGGGTTATCAAACTCAAGAACCCCCGACTGCGTGAGGGTAAAGTGTCTTAAAAACGTGACCCAAGTAAGATTCGCCATTGCTTTAAAATCAATTTTTATTCCTTCTCAGGAAACCGCGGATGTGGAGTGGAAGCACGCAACATTCACGATGGCACTTCAAATATAAAAGATCCAGGAAAAATTATCTAGTAGAATTTTCTGTAAGCCATAAATCGCACTGTCTTTAAATATACTTAATTCTACCAGATAATCTCTTTCCATACTGTGTGAAAAGTTAAAGTATTTAGGGTCAATGAATCAGTTTTTCAGATGATTTACAAAAACTTAAATTTAGTGGGCGTTTTTGTGGACCTTGTGTGTTGCCATGGTAACTGATATGATGTCATAAGTACCCTCAAAGTATAGCTCAGCAACAGAGTTGCAAGGAGACATATAGTTTGCCCACACCATTAAACATCCTTTTTGTAATCTTCCATTGTTTCTCAAACACTACTACAACGAAAAACCCTTTCGAGGCTCCTTAACTTATTTACGCAACGCAATTTGTTTCCGTCGGTGAATACGTTACCTGTAGTACTAATCGCGGTCCAACTGTGGTTAAAATAAATGACGATTGATTAACGAAGTTCTTCTACAAAGGTTTGATTGAAATCTAAAGGTTATATCTAAAAGATGGCTTTATTTGTGAGTTTTGCACTCCTCCATGAAGTCGCGCGAAGGATATGGGATGGGTATATTTAGCAATTACACCTCATGGGCTATTGACCCGTGACCCTTGAGGGCGCAGGGTCTAATTGTTTTAGTATCACCCAACTAGTCTAACAGAAAAGGTAATAATAAAGTTAGCAAATGCAAGTTGAATAAATATTTATTTGGGGAAAAAAACGAAAGAGAAACCGGCGAATTTCGCTACTCGATTACTATTGCTAAAAGTCCCCTAGTAACGTAACTAATCAAAATGCAGGATTTGCATTAGTCAACGAGTTGGGTGATACTAATGCTGGGACCCGTCGTCCGATTTCGTACCACATTATGTTGTTTTTGTTCATGATGTGCACACGCAAAAAGAGTCGTTTGCGTTATACTGTGAGATAGCCGCCGTCTGATATTTTACCTCTTCATGAGCTTCGTCGAATTGGCGTGCACAAAAACTAACTGGTCTGATACCGATGTTACGATGTTAATTTATCGTACTCCAAATAAACTTAAAATTACAGACCAAGGGATGGTGGGCCAAAAGCACCGCGGCGCCGTACTAAGGAAACGGCCATGGGTAAAAACGTAAGTTATAACAAGTATAAGAGAAATAAAAAAGAATCGAAAAGGCAAAACTCTAGAGAAACTTACAAATCAAATTATGTTCCAAGAAAACTTCTAACATTACTTTAAAAAAAAATAGCTCTATCATCAGCTACTCCAACGTGGTTTGAAAGACTATCCTACTGGTAAATAATTCGAATGAAAAAACAACATTTCAATCTAATGGATGTACGACACGTACAGAAGTTGTGGGCACGATATTTACAACTGTTCTAGCACACCAAGTTTTCCTGTGTTTGCAAAACAAAAGCTTAGCAGAAAATTCTTTATTGTTGTGTCAATTAATTAATTTTAAAGAATGAGCAATAAGTGCACCCCTATCTTCTGATTCTGCTTCTTGAAGAGGCTAAAAGTTGAGAAAGTTAATGTGAACATGAGCAAAAGATGAGCGTTAATAGATTACTTGAATATGGGAACGTTCGACCAGAGAAAGAAACAACAATCCCTTATTCTGTTATATAAATGTTTGCACAACGACGGTCCCAAATATACCAGAGATTTTTTTAGTTTTGGGGAAACTATGTACAATCTGAGAGGAACCGACATTAATTTGTGCGCACCTAAATTTAATTTAAATTTCATGAAAAAATCTTTCACTTATATGTGTGCGCAGCTGTGGAATGGATTACCTACAAGTGTAAAACTGGCCAATAATATCAACCTTTTTAAGAAGCTATTGAGAACATTGAAACTTTAGCTGCTTCTCCATTTTAAACTTGTATCTAAGTGACTCTCAATTTCATCGTACAAGCTTAAATTTTAATCTTAATTTTAAATTATTTAAGATATTGCTTCACCATTTTATACCTGTATTTAAGTGACTTTGAATTTTACTGTACAAACTTAAATTTTCATATTAATTATTAGTTATTTCAATTTCTAATCAATTAGGTTTTGACAATATGTATTAGGTTTCTTAGATTCTTGATCTTAGAGGCACGTACGTATTTTGAACGAGCTCTATGAGCTCCTTGGCGCTACGTGGGTAAATAAAGTATTGATTGATTGATTGATTGACTTTCATATTCTCTTCCAAACGTTCTCAGACTAAGGCCAACAGCTGCCATGTTGTATTTTTTGATTTAAGAGAAGATTATTAATTATCTCACTAGTTTTACAAGTTTTAAACTGGCTATAGAAAGGGCAAAAAACTGTCCAGATGACAAGAAGAAATTCTCATCAGGATCTCCTAGCACAAGTAGAGCAGGAATATCAGACGAATTCACCCATCTTAAACGGACCACCTTATACCCGGATAGTATGCACTTGCCAAGAAGAAACTGACGGTCACACTCCATGTAACCTACGGCAACCGCTTGACCTTCCACACTGTAGAGAACTACATCAATTCCTGTAAAGACATGATAAGAAATGATGGGAATGTGTAAAATTTTCCTATTACCATGCTGTGACAGAAGATAAGGAAGCAGAGTCGTTGGAGAATAGGCTTGAAGTCAACAAAGTATAAGCATGAAGCGTGAAGTCAAAAAACTGCTCCTCTGCAGGGATGGAGAGAAACAAAGTACTGTCATGACCCACCGTCTTTTTTTAAGAATATTAACTCATGCTCAAGCTTCTCTAATTGCCACAATAGTTTGTACTTCCCCCCATTTCTCACATAGAGTAACCCCTTAATGCTAGAATTTATAAAATTATTCAAACCAATTATTTGTAGACGTATAATTATCTATTTGCTAATGAGATTAGCTACTTACTTAACCCTTTACCCCCAAGGCAAACGGAAGATTTTCCTAAATCAGCAATTAGAGACACTCTGCCTGTGTACAATATACCATTTAAAAGCCAATGATCAGCTTATTTAAGAACTGACATCAGCAGCTATGAAGAAGGTGGACATTTTGAGAGAAATTACTTTAAAATGCAAAAATAAACGACTTAAAAAATGTCAAAATTCTACTATTAATAATAGGTCTACCCCTAAACTATAGCTTATTTAGAAGCTCTTATTGCATAGCTTCATATGAAACAACTCTTGCATTCCATTTGCATCCCAAAAAAGAAACAAAAAAGATTTGGGGTGGTCAACCATGTCTTTGATAGGAGGAGGTCACAATTTAATGACTTCAATGACGAGATCTTCACAAGAAAGAACAATGAGAAATACAAAAAAAATATATTATTGGACCACGTGATAACAAAGCAAACATGGTAGTAAAGCATCTTGAGATGGAGTGCAGTTGACAGGCAATTGAGCATCAGGATGGCTGGCTATCAGGTAGGTACATCAGAGAAGAATGCATGGATTGAGTGGACAATAGTGAGGAAAACAGATCTGAAATATTATTAGATGGTATGATAACAAAGTAAAGATTTTATTAAGCACCTTGAGATGAAGGACAGTTGGTGGGTTGGAGAGTTGGTGGAGAGTCAGGATGGCTTGCTATGGCAGGTGCCAGAACTAAATATGAAAGAAATCAGACCATCAGAATATATGAGAAAACAATACAAAAAATATTGATACCAAAAAATTTTATTTGATGGTATAACAACAATGTAAACATGGCTTAAGTACCTTGAGAAGATGGATAGTTGTTGGTTTGTGGGGAGTCAGCAGGACTTGCTGTAGCAGATGCAGGGACTAAACAACAAAAATATGAGAAAATAATACATGATGAAACATTAAAGATGAGTATGATACAGAAACATATTATTTGATTGTGTAATAATAAAGTAAACATGGTTTCAAGCACCTTGAGAAGATGGATAGTTGGTGGATTGTGGAGAGTCAGCATGAGTTCCTATGGTGGATGCAGGGAAAAATAACAAAAATATGAGAAAACAATTTACATGGGGTAACATTAATGAGAAGTAGGATACAAAAAAACATTATTTGATGGTATAATAACAAAGTAAACATGGTTTTAAGTACCTTGAGAGGATGGGCAGTTGGGGGGGGTTGTGGGGAGTCAGCAATGCTTGCTGTAGTGGGTGCCAGAACTAAATACAATTTAAGAAATCAGAGAATACACAAGGAAGCAGTAATGAGGAGTATGCTACAAAAAATATTATTTGATGGTATAATAACAACTAAACATCATGGTTTTAAGTACCTTGAGAAGATGGACAGTTGCTGGGTTGTTGATGTTCAAGATCACTTGCTGGTAGGTGCAGAACAGACAATGGTTATGAAAAAATCATAAAAACCAAAAATATACTAGTAAATTGTGTGATAACAAAGTAATCATGGCATAAGCACCTTCAGCGGAAGGGCAGTCGGAAGGTGGCTGAGGATCCTGAGGACTGGCTTTGGTAGGAGGAGGACCTAAATATTAAAGATATCAGGAAACAATACATGAAACAAACAAAATGAGGACTAGAAATAATATTAGTTTACTGCGTCATAGCAAAGTTAAGGTGGCTCAAAAAAGTAATAATTCAGTGAGAAGCCTGGGCTCTAGCATGCAATTTAGCGCTAAGCATCATGGTCACCTGAGGAGTCCTGAGAAAGTCCCCAAGAGTTCAAGTTTGCAAAGCTCACAACAAACATGGTGAAACGAAGTCTATGTTTCCACCTAGTTCAATGAGGTGTTTGGCATATCACTTGTTTTTATCTTCGAAAAACAGCCATTCTTCAGGCAATTCCAAATGAAAAAAAAAATCCTTTCAAACTGCTGTGCTGGAATGTAAATAAAAATTGCGATTGATGTCAGTTGATGTTGTGATCGATTTTGCCGGCTATCAATCTAAAAAACAGCATGAAAAAAGTACTCTTCAAGTTTTCCTAATTGTTCCTTTTACTAGCCTAATAAGGCCAGTCTAGCCTTCAGGTATTTGTAGTACTCTTCTTCTACCACTCATGCTGCTGACAACAACAAAAAGCTGCAACACTGATTTAAGTTTAACAAGATTCACAGAGGACAATAAAAATCATTAAGTTCTCACCATATTGTACACTAAATGCCTCAAACATGTCTTTAACTGTCGGGGCAAAGTCTGAATTGCTCCTTAAAAATTCTTCTCCAAGTCCAGGGGTGCCATAGTAGTAAAATGATTTCCCGGTTCCATGTTTGGCCCGGTAAAATACTGCAACATCAAAGCCTGACTTGACATGCAATATATCAGCCTGAAAAATATTGGGGGTTCACAGTCAATTAATAAGAAACAGTACAAAATAAACACTTGTTTCTGTAAATGTAGTGCCATGTACTGCACTGTTCTTTTAGTAAAAACAAGACAAAATCTTACTAAGCTTAATGTAGTTTTACCCTCTTCTCCAGAAGCTCTCTCTGGATGGTTGGATTGACCTTTCCCATTTTATGAAGGCACTCCCAATCCTTTTCCTTCTTTTTAAATTCAAACAAACAGCCAGCATTTTTGCACTGCTTTCTGGCTATGGGGCTCTCAAATGAGCAATCAGGACACCTCTGTTGAAAGAATGAAGTTAATTGTCCAAATAATTTAATTATCATAAAATTCAGGTTTCTTGAGATAATAAATTAAAGCTACTCTTAATGTAATGTAAATAGTTGATGTACATGTATGTATCTACTGTTCCAACTTGATGCTTAAAAGACTATAGATACAATTATCTTCTGCAATCAATTCTCTGGACACGAATATAAAACGAACTTAAAAAAAGAGAGAAGCAGATACAGTCGAACCTGAATATAACAACCCTCTATCAAGTGGCCGCCTTCTATCAAGGGGCCAGTTTTCAAAGTCCCAATTTTTGCTCGCACAAATGGTGTATTAAGTTACCTTAATTTGGCAGCCACCTCTATTAAGCAGCCATGACCACCCTGTGGCAGTCCTATGTTTGTCTTTCTTTGTTATTTCTATCTGTATTGATCATGAACAGCGACTGTGAATGTAACAAACATGAAACTGGACGTAACAACTATGAAATGACAGAATGAGATAATTATTTTATTGTGAACTGTAAGTCAAATAAATACAGTGAGAGCAGAGGAAAAAAAAAATTAAATTTTGCACAAATGTCCAATGCCACTACCCTAGCTGAAACCATATAAATTCATCTAAACACATCTGTTGACCAATCAGAGTGTGCAGAGTATTTCAACTACCCTTAAATTAACATAAGTTATGATAATGTGAGATTGAGTTAAAAGTCCTTTTAGGTAGGACTAGATTACAGAATACCCAGCCACTTAATATGTAACATCACCTGCTGCTCCCATTGTCCCGCAGTGGTAATAATTTACATAATCTACATACAAAATAATAACATGAATGGATGTGCATTACTCATTCTAAAAGCTTGATGGGTGACCAATCAGCTATTAAATAAATGTAATTGTTTTACCTCTGGAGTGTATATGACTATGGGAGCTGAGAAGTTTCACTAGTCTTTTTATTGTCCACTTAAATTTGAGAGTGCAGAACTGCAAGAGCACTAGCGGTTACACCCAGTCTTAACTTGGATAATGCGTCTATAGTCTTCTTTGTCTCATTCTTGTAATCTTTTGAACTATTATAGACCCAATGGGAATTGTGGAAAACCCTTCCAAGCCTCCTTAGGTGACTGCAAGGGCCCAGCATCCTGCAATTGGTTATCCCCTATTGGGCTTGATAACTTTAAAAATATAACTCTCTCAAATTATGTAAATTAATGGCTTATCCATTTTGAAATCACTGGTTATCCTTGCAATGAGATTGGCTCTCAGTGGTGCGATTTAATCACAAATTGCACTATCTTTTGCTTTTAATCACATCTTTTCCTCGGCCAATGAGAATGGGACAGTAAAACCAAACAACCAATCAGATTTTAAGGTTTTTTTAAACTAACCGATTACATTGCAGGTAAAAGTAAGATTTGGCTATTAAATAATGTGATTTCAAAATGGATCTAATATAGTGGCAATTGATCTTTGGATCATGAAATTTTGGTCTGAAATCATACTTGTGATTTCAAATTGAACTCGCACCTTTTGCTTGTTTGATTTTGAAATCACATGTATGATTTTAGATCTAATAATATACATGAAAAAATCTCAGTTCTGATTGGTTAAGATGAATGCAGTTTTCAGTTAATTCAGTGCAGTTTTTGGTTGGTTCAGTGCAAAGAAAGAAACAAACCAGACATTCTGATTGGTCAGAATGATTAGTCAATGTCAAAGTCAAGGTCAACGTCAAGGTCAATGACACTTGTAGAGCTTGAATAAATTCTTTTTGCACCTGATGCGCGTGCTTTTCTTCTGCATAGTTATGAGAAGCTACCTCGTATTTTTTTCATGTATATCATTAATAGATAATCACATGATTTTCTCTTGCAATTTGGAATAAATAAGCACTTGTAAATTTTTGCAAAGACCACAAATTGCACTCGCCCTATGGGCTCATGCAATGTTAGTCTTTGAAAAATTTCCTCGTACTTATTTATTCCAAATTGCACTCGGAATCATGTGATTATACCAATACAGTTCAGTTATTGAGCTAACAAACCCAAAATAATTTCATTGGTGAACAGTTTGATTAAAATAAGGGTGACAGGAAAAAAGAGACTCCATGACAATTTTTGGGAGCCCTTCAGGCTCCAGTTTTTAAAAGTTAGCAGCCCAAGCCAATTGTTTTCTTTGGAGCCCAGTTGGGAATGAAAGCTCCATTTAGCTGCCCATCCAGGTAACCAGAACAACATTTTAGTTGCCTAATATCTGGTAACTGAGGCGCCTCAGGCTACTGCATTAAGTAACATTTAGGCAGCAGCCTTTTTTTATTCTACTATTCAGTAAAAATGAATAGTGCTTAAATTACAACGTTCGACAAACAGGATTATCTCAAATATTTGACCTATAAAACCATTGAGAGTCAGGCAACACAATGGGCGATTCCGTAACGGACCGCTAAAAGAATTTGCTAAAAGAGGCAAAGTAAACAGTTATATATTTTTGGGATTTTTGCTAGCCATTTCCATGGCGAAAATCGCTATTGCGATCGGCGTGGATCGGCGTGTAAAAAGTAAGAAAAGTATGTCGCTACCTTTACAAGTAATTAAGTGTTTCTACCGTAGGCTTATATTTGTCAAACCTTAAGATATCGACGCAAGACAAACCTTTGCAAGTTTCCTCTTATTACCAACATTCTCATCACGGCTATCAGCTACATGAACAAGAGTGCATAAAACTAATTAAGGTATTCAAGCTTACATAAATATGAATAATTCATAGAGGATATATTGAAAAATTCACGTGCAATATGGGTATTTAAAAATTAAAGAATGGAGAATTTTTTAAAATTATTAAGCCACATAGGAAATTTTTATTACTTAAGATTATGAAATAATCAGAAATGAAGGCTGCTATCAGTAGTAAAGTACCTCACCCGCAGTCGGACTATCACCGGCTTCCGCCATTTTCGAAATCTCTTGACGACAATATAGGCACCAGTCTAACCCGAGCACACCACTTGGCGGGATTATCGACCTGGAGGACATGTTAAAATTAAAATACCTCATCATGTAAAAATCTGTGATTTAAAAAGAGCCTAGATTAAGTATGAATATTAAAAAAAGTCAGAAACTATGATATCAAAGAAAAGAGAAAATTAATAATAATAAAATAACCTAATATATGTAAGACTTAAGAATAACTCTGATAGCTTTGTTTTCACAGAATAAAAGGCTTAATGGGTGCTTCGAGAGGACTCCTGGGGTAAATTTATCCGTTGTGGTTAAATGTGCCATGTTCTCTAGCGATAAAGGGCACTTTCCGGAATTCCCCACCGCATTTCTTTCTCCAAAAATAGATTGAGTGCTGTCGCCTGCCTAACGCAATTGCCATTAAGCAGAGAATTTCTAGATTATCGGTATTTCTATCCCCTGTCGGAGCGACAAAGCCTTTTTTTAAATGAAAGGATTGACGAATTCGATATGCTCTGTTTGACCTTTTCCCAGTGGCGCAAGTTTCCTTCTTGGTCTCTCATCCAAATACAGCCGTCGACAGAAATCTAAAATCTTTACACTTGATACCTTCTTCTTAAGCGAGTATCACAGCTCCAGCTTGCGATGCGCGTTAACACATTTTTCCGGGAGAATGAAACGAAGCTAAAGTAGTTTGGTAACTTCAGAGTCAAGGACGTCAAGTAACATGTCGCATCATTTTCTGTTTCACGACGCCAACAACAACTCCAAGAACAACAACATTGAGGTTTATCACGCGACCCAAGAGCGGTAGTTTAGAAAATATGGAATGCTGGAATTCGGAACCGGAATTGGAATACATGGAATACCCGGAATTCTCAGAATTCCCGGAATAACCGAAAAATAACAAATTAAAAAAAAAATAAAAGTGAATAGATAAATAAATAGATAAATAAATAAATAAATAAATAAGAGCATTGATGATAAAAAATTAATGGTAAATTCACAACTTAATTGAATAATTTTATACGAAAATTTTCTCTGAGGGTTCCGAAAATAAAAACACTTACCGGCCCTGTTCATGGAGATGCACGTATTAGAATTTAAAAAAGTCCGCGTCAGGCCAGTAGCCCATACAGCCTAAGTGACAAAATATTTCTACTTTCCCTTCCCCCTGGATGGGATGCTAGTCCATCACATGGTTACTCCCCGTTTTAAATTCGCCTCCACCCATTTACACACCTATAGGATGTCTAGCCAGGGCGCCATGACCATTAGGCCGCCACGCTTTTCCAGCCGGAACCATTGCAGACGATTAAACAAATGCAATATTTCAAATTAGTTTAAAAATCTCCAAACTATTACAAATTAATATTCTACCTTAAATAATTATTAACCACACATTGGGAGCTATCAAAGCAGCTACCATTAAGACCAGCCGTCTACAGTTAAAATTGAGAGATCGTCAGTTACTCGACACCTTTTCGCGTCTATTATAAATAACTTGAATATATACCTTTAAATATATATCTTGTACTGATGGATTCTTCTAAACAAGGTTTATATTCAAAGGTATATATTCATGGTATTTATAGTAGACGCGAAAAGCTGTCGAGTAACTGATGATCTCTCAATTTTAACTGTAGACGGCTGCTCTTAATTGTAGCTGCTTTGATAGCTCCCAATGTGTGGTTAATAATTATTTAGGGTAGTGTATTAATTTGTAATAGTTCGGAACTTTTTACAATTGAACTATTAAACTGATTGTAAATATTGCATTTGTTTAATCTTCTGCGATGATTCCGGCTGGAAAAGCGTGGCGGCCTAATGGTCATAGCGCCCTAGACATCCTGCAGGTGTGTAAATATGCGGAGGCGAATTTAAAACGGGGAGAACCATGTGATGGATTAGCATCCCATCCAGGGGTAAGGGAGAGAAGAAGTATTTCGTCGCTTGGGCTGTATGGGCTACTGGCCTGACGCAGACTTTTTTTTTACTTCTAATCTCCATGAACAGCACCGGTAAGTTTTTTTTTTTTTTTTGGTGGGGGGGGGGGACCCTCAGAGAAAAAGTTCGCATTAAATTATTTAATTAAGTCGTGAACTTACCATCAATTTTTAATCATCAATATTCTTATCATTTATTAATTTACTTAAATTTTTTTTTTTAATTTATTATTTTTCAGTCATTCTGGGAATTCCGGGTATTCCGGTTATTTAGAGTCCCGGTTCCGGTTCTGGTTTTCAATTCCGGTATTCCAAACTACCCCGCCCAACCGCCCAAGAGCGCAGTAATTTGATAATGTAATAGTTGACCTTCAACAGTTTTCATCAGCCTTTAAAGAGATCATTGTTTCCAAGCGTAACTGGAGTCACTCTTTACGATACGTGAAAGTGAGATCGAGGTTCTGGGACGAGTGCGTGTGGACAAATAAAGCTGTTCAGCTACAGGTATCTGTTTCACCATAATTTCACCTCGTGAAAAGCCACAAATTTTGAATCGTTTTGTCGTTCCTTTGTTCCGTGCACTTTCAACCATGCTCCAAGAAGGTACAGGTAGCTTTGATTCATTCCTCAAAAATTTAGAGGAAAAAAATCAGGCACAAGTAGAACATGTCCTGGGTTCTGATGCGAATGTAGAGCAGGAGGCAACTGAAGGAAGCAAACGCAAGAAACTTTCGGACGCCATTAAAGAGGGCGACCCATATAGGGTTTGGAAACTTATACTGGGTGAAGAATTCAAAGAAGTGCCGTATCTTGAGGACTTAAATAAGGTATCTAAATCCGTGGCCGACAGAGAGGACGACAAGGATGGATTGTGCAAGTTTATCTGCTCGGAATTGAAGAGCCTGTTCAAGAACAACGAAAAGGAAGATTTGCCGAGCGAAAAAGAACGATATAACCTGAAAATTCTAAGCAACCCTCTGTGCTTAAGTCTAGAATGGCTTTGGAGGAGTAATCTAAATTCTAACTATCAGCATAGGGAATGTAAGAAACGCAGGGAGAGTAAGTTTGAAGACGTAATTGAAGCAGCCCTCGATGATGCTTATCTACTGGAGAAAATGGCTTCGCACGAAGATCACTTCAGCCAAGATAAATATATGAAACGTGCAAAGAAATGTGAGGAATTTGCCGTCGATATCGTCAAGCAAGTAAATGGCAATATAGAGCTGCTGCACAAAGTCCTGGATATCGAAGGAAAGGGAGCTTTGCTGAAGGAGGGGTCCGATGATTTCATTTCCAGTTTGAGTCTGCTCAAGATGGCCGCTGATAAAGAACGCAAAATGGTGAGTTTTACGTCCATAAGTCTTCCAGGCTCCGCTTTAAAGTAAAACTGATATTTTTTCAGGTTTTTATTTACACATACACAGGTCAGAAAATTGCTAAAATGTTATTTTATATTTTGGAGGCAACCAAAAATGTTTAATAATAACTGAGACCTCAGGTATTCTGAGAATTCAAATTCTCAGAAAATGATATGACACAAATACAACAGCAGGGCAAGTTATGTTATAATCTACGAGATGAATGGCGAGTTGAATGCTTGGCTTGATATCAAAATTACTGAAAAGGCAGAAAAGGCGTATTTCGTCCCTTCAGCGAAGCTGAGGTCAAGTTGCCTGTGTTTCTGACGGCTATTGAAGGGAATTAGAGGAAAATCAAGACGGCTCAGCCGCAAGCAAAAGAGCAATGTAATGCGACCGATGAATATTCGAGCTTCCATATTTTTCATAAGCCTCTTAAAAGATCAAATTAGCTTGGTCAAACACAGTACACGTTGTAATGGGAAACGCATCATCACGCACCAAATCATCAAACAACTCCCTATAAACTTTGCGAAGCTACCACGAAAAATTGGAACACCTCTTAAAAACATGACTTTAGCCCCTCCTGGAGAACTTATAGTCAGAATCTATGATTTTAATTTGTGAAAAGGGAGGAATCAATGCTCTTTATCTGCACAGGATCTAAATTATATACCAGAAACTTTAGATCTAGACCTATTTGACATTGGTGGAAGAGAGAGAAAGAAAGTGAGCTGTTTACCCTTCCGACTTTAATTAACAATTGGTTCATGCTTTAGCGTGCACTATCGAGTTATGGAGCACGCGGGAAGTTTGGAGAGCACGAAAGAAGTGTAAGAGTTGCCCGAGGCGATAGCCGAGGGAAACTCTAGCTTCTTGAGTGCTCTCCAAACTTCCCACGTGCTCCATAACTCGATAGTGCACAGCTGAAAGCATGAACCAATTGTTTTAGAACATAGCCGGTGGAATTGTGCATCAAATCCGACGCGAAAAACGGACAACAATATCAGTTGAAGCGAATCGTGACGGCGCTG